AAATTATTTCTTTTAATAAAAATACAGCAATTCTATTGCTGTATTTTTCTCTTGTATTAAGTAAACAATTTTTATTACTGCTTTATACCTTAAAAGACGTGAGAGTAATGCATAATGTGCCAATGAAAACTTTCGTAATATTAAAAACAATGAAAAAAAATGCTCTGGGGTAATTTCATTATCTCACTTGGTTAATTAAACACAGTGTGCAAATACAAAATTATCTTATGACATCTTTATTTTCTTTATTCACAGACACAAATTAAATTTTATTTTACACAAGAGAAAATGCTGTTGTTCTGTTGGAAGTTGGAAGTTGTCTTCTTAAGATAAAAGATATAAAAAAACAAACAATATAATATTGATCACATAAATATAAGAGATCATTTCATTGTTTTTATTAAATTAAAAGAATAGAAAAAGAGAGTGTCTATGAAATATTGCTTTTTGAGATACATTTTTATGTGCCTTTACGTTTTCCGAATTAGTAGCTAAATCTTTTTCAAAAATATACTTAAATGTCCAGAAAAATTCGTTTCGGTCGAATCGCAATCAATTCTCCGCAAATATCAAATATTTCAAAATCTCGATACGTAGAGTCCATCAACCCGATAGAATTATTGCATCGCCGATATTGAAAATGCGGATCTCTCGCATGGTGGTGAGATCCAGATCACGTATACACTATAATCTGTAGTCGCGCGATGAAGAATTGCGTGACCATGAACAAAGACCACCCTTGATCCTGGGCAGCACCGCGCAATTGTCACGAATTAGCGGCTGTTATCCGTGCGCGCGAGACGTGCAACTGTTCTACATGGACGTGATTTATCCGCGATCCGAAACACTTTGATTTTTGTCGCCGAATGTCGGTCAATCCCCGGCATCGCGCCCGACGTTTCGCCCGCTGCGACAAATCGCAAATTCGATTCACGTTCACGCTCGCGCGCGTCCACGAGGCGACGAAGCGCGATCGACGATAAATTCTGCCTATTTCGTGTAGTACCGGCGAATCTATAAAGTTCATTCTAGACGTAAGATCGTATCTCCAAGGTGAAAGTCATAGCTCTCGGACTTGGCGAATTTTCAATTTCAATATCCACTCGGTTCGCCATTTTATTCCGCTAGTAAAGTAGAGTTCGATTTTACAACTTGTTAAAATGAATTTATACTTGCTGCAGTCTTGTACTGAATTTCTGTGTGGATACTAAAAAATAAGAAGAATAAAAAATGAATAATCGAAGATTTTATTTTTAGAAGTAGAATTAGAACATATTTTAAATAGCAAAAGAAGTTGTGAAGTAGATACAGATAAGAAATAAGGTAAAGGATATTACATTGAATTAATATGAAAAAAAAAACAAATGAACAGTATACACTGAATTTCTATCTCTTAATTTAAAAAAAAAGTTTTTTTACATAATTATCATTACATATTTATATATGTTAAACTATCTTTCAAAATTAAACTTAACTTGTGAAGTAAACGCATTTAAAAAGTTAAATTTAAATGACACTTTAAAAATGTGAATATTTTTGGATAATTTTCTTGATGTAGCACTCACATTCAAGTGTTATAATATTATGATACACATAATTACAATTAATATTGACATCTTAATATTGATTATCTGTTTAACCAATCACCGAAATTCACGCTCTGGTATTACGTAACAGACCCAGTATATTGAATCAGTTCGAAGCTATATTAATTTTATTTTATAATCGATTTTATAATCGACCAGTTCTGCTATTGAATCGATGACAATGTATCATTTATCGTTTTCGCATTGATTTCTTGAAGAAAAATTAATACTGCTAGAATACTTCTACTCTTTCTCTCTCTCTTAAATGTTTGAATAATCACAGTTCTACTCGCATGCTTCCACGGCGCCAATCCAATTGCATTGCAGGCGTGAAAAGAATCGTCGGAAATGCACGGGATGGATGTTTAGGAGTATATGTTCAAGCCAATAGTCCGCAATTGAACTTCGCTTTATTTGCTCTAACGGCAAACATTTAAATACAGCAAGCCTGGTCGAGAGCATCCTTTACGTGATTTATTCACTTGGATGTATAGATGAGTTGCACGTTGCAACGCGAACAAAGCAAATGTAATTTTACCACGTAATGGAAGAATTTATAGTTATTAAATTTTTATGATGAATCATGGAAACCGCTTCTTTTTTCAATTTATATTTTATTTTTACGTCAATTTCTTTTATGATACAAAATATCTTGCGTTATGCAATAACTAATACTATGCTAACGTTTATAAATCCTCGTAGAAGGAAAATTGAGTTTATATGATAAATTAAATTATGTACTCTCATAACTCAATCTTAATGTAATTAAGACATTAAGACAGTAAGACGGTTGAGTTATTATGTTATTACGCGCGCTTACACAATCTTCTCTCAATAATGTAACAAAATCTAAATTAACAAAGTATCATTTTGATGTGCAGAAAAGCTCTGAAAAATGAAGGATGACGTGGACGAAGATGACTCCGGCACGTCCTCTTCGGGCAGCACGTCCGTGCCTGAAAGCACCATTGCATATGGGTAAGTCAAGATCCTCATATTTTATAAACATATTTTTATACGATGCGACGAAGATAGTATTTGCGATAAGAAAATTTTTTAAATTTTATTTCTTACCATTTCTACCAAACCTGCATCATTGTTATGGGATAAATTAGATAAAATCATATTCATTGATCATTAATCATCGAGGTAAATCACATATATGAATGCAATGATTAAGATATAATATTTTATCGAGAAGAAATATTTTATTGTAATATATCTCTCAATTAAATAATACGATATTACTTGTTAAAATTATAAGAAGAAAAATTTAATAAAATTAATTAAATGATCATAATTAGCTAAGTATTAAGTCGAAAACTTTATCATAACTTTTTAATTAGCCTTTAATTTATTTAATATTAGTTCATCTAAAAAAAATATGCCTAGAGATTACTTTCTAATAAATCGATAATTGTAAATGGAACGTGAGCGTACTGATTTGATATGAAGAACTATTTCCATGATAAAACTATATTACAATATAGTAGAGGATAACATTAATTCACTCAATTATAGCTTCTTACGAATACAAACTTCCTAGATAATCACTGTTCTTCGTGCTCGGTTAATTAATCAACCGTAAGTGTGGCGCATTACTACACTTCCATTTAATCGGTTCCATTTTATCAACTTGTCGGTGTTACAGCACGGCTGATCAAAAGGGTTTCGCTTTTCGAGTTATTAAGCGAACCATGTCAAAGCTTTTACATCTACAAGCAAACATCGTTTTAAGCAAAAATCGACAAAAAACTTTTCATGAATTTCGTTCTCCATCTTTTTCTTCTTTCTCGGATAACAAAAACATCGTTAATAACAACAAAAACAACATCAATTATGTTTTGGAGTATTTAATAATTATATTAAAATTATTATAATATTTCATTTATATTAATATTGTATAAATCAATATGAAGCATTTATTGCAACCGAGAGAGAGATCCTTAGAGATCTCACTAATTTTTGTTTAATATTTCCAATTAACTGTATCTTTTGCATTTATTAATTTGAAATTTGAAAACAGATTCTTATTAATACATAGATTCTTATTAATACATAGGACCGTAGATTTAAGAGAACAGGTATATACGTATATAGAATATATATATATAGAATGGATAATTTGGCACATTTCTTCATGCCTATGTAACGCTTCTATTTTACCACTGTCCTCCACATATAAAATTGTATGATACATCGAAATCGTAGGCTATATCTTGTTTGTAGACAAACATAAGAAAGCAATACTTTGCACGCGTGCTCTTGGATTATATACCGCAATAAAAAGGTTATAAATGAATATTTGCTTTGAATGATAAAAAGAGGGCGGACAATGTCATGTTATACAAAATTATTGAACAGCGACAAATGTATGAAATATCACGTGGAATAAAATCTTATCGGATATTATGGTTAGCGTGATTATCGTTTCGAGAGTTAGGATGAATTTTATTTGTGCTTCGTTTGAAATATGATGTGGCTCGCGCGAAATATGCAGTTGAAAAAAAAAATACGAATCGTCGCATTTCGAACAGATCAGTTATCCGGAAATTCAATCCCTCACTTGGTATGTTTTTTCGGAACAAAAATCATTATCGATATTTTTCTGCATTTGTGAAAATTTAGTAAACTGCGCAGTCCGTTTTTTAGCCAATCTTCGCAGTTCTCTAACACGGTTTTAGATAGCTCTTGAAAATCTAAGTTTTCTTCAGCGTCTCTCATTCACAATTTTATATGTAATAAAAGTCACGCAAAATGCCGGCGACAACTCATCCGGCGATAACAAATCATCAATGATCGAAGCCTTGCCGTCAAAAACAAATTCTTTTAATAATAAACTATTTGCTTATAAGAAGTGGATGATAAAAATAGAACTACATTGTCATATTATTCTTCAATTATGATACATTAATATAGAAAAATGTGTAAAGATAATGTAAAGATCCTGCGATAAATTAAATATCATAAGTATTATAAATTTTAATTGTAATTAATGATGAAATACAACTTTCATCTATGTACTTAATCACACAATTATAATTATCTATATGATTATGGATCATTTATATAATACACATAATTAATATCATAATTATAAATATACATAGTTATAAACATGGAGTGTTTTCACATCGTATTCATCTGAAGTAGATTGAATAAATAAATATAAGTAAATATAAAAATAACTCTTCCTTGTGAGCGTGATATCGAGAGCGTGATAGCGAGAAGCATCCGTGCAATTAATTACATAGCTATATAATCTATATAATTATAGATTAACTATATAATTTATATAATTAAGCAAGATTATAAATACATGATCATAAACATCAATATTCTCGTTTTTCGTTTATCTAATTATAAGATATTTTTAAAAAAAAAATTTATTTTTCATTGTGAACATAAGAAATGCAGAGAATTGTGAGAAAGGAAAAACGTATACATATCGACTTCATATACATACGCACTCCGAAATTCCCTTCTTATCACGGACCTATCGATGTGAGCGTAGCCTAATAACGTATCGTTATCACGCCAGGCGCACGGATAGACGACGCGGCGGGAGCAGACGAGGGGAACGACGATTGGTCGTCGTCGCGTGGGGGGGGAAGCGCTGATTGGTCGCTGGAGTAGGGATAGCACTCGTCGAGCAGTTCACATCCGACTGCCGTAAGTTGCGGTCTCGCTGGTGCGCTTCTTGTTTATCGCGCTCTTGCCGCACGTCTCTTTCCCTCGCCTTTTCCATTCGACTAGTTGGATCATCCCGTCGTACAGGCCGCGTGACGTTCACCGGCTGTCAATGAGATGCGCGATGTCGGCGTGTCGCAGTTTTCTCTGTGAAAAACGCGTGGTTCTTCGCGTGCACGCGCGCGCGCACGTATATATGCGCGCGTGACTGTATTTTTGGTGTGTATCTTTGGTTGCGACGTTTGTTGCGACCAGCAAGTAAACAGGTGACGCCGACGAGCGGAGCGAAACGGCGGCGCCGCGCCATGCCACGCCGCGCCGGTAGCGGTTGACCTTTTAAAACGTACGGTGCGTCGCGTGCAAATTGCGCGAAATAGCAGCGGCCGGTGATCGACAGTGTTTGAAATAAATCACCGCACCGCAACTGTACACACGCGGTGGACACCGTTCGGTATACTGTGTCAAGGCCACCGGCGTCCACTACGTAGCGCATTTCTCTGCGCAGTATCGGAGGAAGCGGGGAAAAGAGAAAAAATCTTCCACGTTCCGCGATCTGTCGGAAAAACTCGCGACTTCACGGTTGCGCCTCGAAATCCGCGCCTCCGATCTGAAAGACAGTGTCAAAATTCGATATCAATTTCCGACGAACAAATAGCAAACGGTGGGGAAGCCTTGTGTGCGTGCATGACTGTTGAGCCCCGCAAGTTGGAACGACAGTTTGCGTTTGTCAGATCACTATCGATGTTTCGATCGATGTAGAAAGATCGCGTGAAGGTGACAATCTGGATTTACCTCGCGAGTTTCAGTGAAGCGGTGCTTGTGCGCGAGGTCTGTAGGGAGTAGAGTTTATATGTTGCGGTTATACGCCGCTCTGATAGTCGCTGCACATCGATAAGGAACTCGCGGAACGATATATTGCGAGAATAGTCCCGTGGGAAACGACGGAACATTCAACGCCGCATCGACCAATCAAGTTCGACAACCTCTATAATGAGTCGTGAGATGTTCGTCGAATTCAAAGGCAATTGAAGAATTATTCGCCAAATAAGCTGTCGAATAATCGCCGATTAATTACCACTTATACCCGACTAATTCGGCCGTCACATCGTTGCGATAAGGACGATTGCATCGTCAACGACGCTGCCGTTCTCCAATATGGCGAACGCGATACCACTTGCCGCAAACTGTGTTTACCGGTGCAGTCGAGCGATTTATTGAATAAATCTTGGACAAAATTGCAATATTGACAGTCATCGTTATTCCCTCGCTACATAAACATTGAAACGATATCGGTGGATCGAAAAATCGAATTGAAAAGTTACGATGGCCAACGACGACGGGCGAACGTATTTTTTACGGGCGGACGGATGAGAGAATTCTTTTGCACTGTGTAGAAAACGTATATTTTTTTGTATAAATGTACCTTGAAGTGTACGGCATGTGGCAGCAACAACAACCGCAGCAGCAGCAAGCGTATCTGAGGAGTTTACCGCCGCAGCATCCGCAGCAGCAGGCTCTCCATCAAGGGATCATCGGCATGGACAACCGCGCGCATCAACAGCATCATCAGCATCATCGCGCTACCGTTATGGATCTACCGGTACCAAGGTCAGTCTCGTTGTCTTGTTACGAAATAAAGTCACCGAGTGCATCAAGGAGAACAGATATGCAGATGGGGATCGCGTCCAGTCGTGCTCGGATTCAAATCGAGTCGTTGATCCTCGAGCAATTTCGTGGGGAGGATTTTTCCTTAGCTCGGTTAATCACAGCTTTCATTATCTTGACAATTCAGAATTTTCATGTTTTTAACGTAAAGCTTAATTACGATTTCATTTTTTTTTTTTTCCTAAACAAAGATGTAACGAACGATGATTTTACTGTTTTACCTTTAGCCTTTATTATTTGTAAATATATATATATAATGAATGATAATGAGATGTATATTGATTTCACGACGCCACTTATGCTCCATAAGTCGCATCCAAATGGAGAATATTTCTGAATCTCGGATCATTAATTTAATGACGCATTATTTGATCAATGTGAGATTAATCTTTCCTTACGAATGTCTTAAGACAGTTCATTATTTATTGCAATTGTTCATATCTAAATATAAAATATCTTGAAAGTTAAGATCGAAGTTAAACTATCAATTTTGAGAGTTTTTATAAAAATTTTTTTTTTTTAATCAAATATTGAGGAATGATAAGAGAAATTAATATGTAATTTTAATATGAATGAATAGTTTATCTATAGTATTAATATTTTTTATTAAAAAAACTTCTATTGATATATCATCTATATCAATAATGCATAATATAGAAAAATTATTATAGACATAATAATTTTTGTATATGAGCATGTTATAATGAATGATTTCTCGTTGGCAAAGGAGATGCAAAAATGTTAGCTTCTTTTTTTAATATATATATATTACTGTTTTATATACATACATACGTGGCAATTTATTCAACATAACAAATTGGTGTTTATGATTTGCGTATTTCATTGGCACATAAGTCCTTGGCTTTTGCTTTATCTAAGTATATATAATCGATGTTGTCATCGGACTGCCTATGGACTACCGTACCTATGGATAAATTTATTCATATATGCATAGTTATCTTTCTTTCAACGATTTCGGTGGTGATTTATTCTTACTATAAGTACGATATTGGACACCATGTCTCATTTTTTTTGCATTCCGCTATATTTTTGAGTATTATCTATCTACCTTTCGTCTTCTTTCGAAATCGATCGAAAAACTTTACGACGGCATTTCCAAAAACCGGTCATGTCTTTCAAATGTTATTGCAATCTGTGCTTCCATTTTTTTTACCCTACGATGTGCCAACACATACATTTATGTTAAATCTAGCCTAAAGAAAACTATCATGAATAATTTAACAAAAGAGCATTAATTTTATTGCTTTTTTAAAGTTCTACAATTTTATATATTTTTTGCCATCTTCTTTTTACTTATTGTAGTCATAATACAATATGAAACGTTTCTTTATAAATTGCTAACTGATTTTATTCTCATTATTTATTTACTATTTGAATAATAATAATGTTATCACATATATTATGCTTAAGGATGGCATTAATAATTAAGTACGATTGTATGAATGACAAGACATTTTTATTGAACCAGTACTAATACATGTCATTTTCGGAACTGATAAGTTTGTGTACAAATAGCGTTGAAAATACGATAACTCACGTGCCACACGTGAGAATAATGTCGATTGTAGAAAAGTAGAACTGGTAGCTATTAAAAAGGAAATTACATGATTAACGATTATTGTGTGAAACTAAGGATTTTATTGTATTCGAGATTAATCTAATTTAATACATTCAGTTCTTTTATAGAATTAGATGCTACGTAGATTATTTATTTATTACAAAAAAGATTCTAGAATTTATATTATAAAGTATAATTATTACTAGTTTATTTTAAGAATTATCTATAAAAACGAGAAACTGCAAATGTACTTTTCCATAACTATTTAAATTTCTGCAATTAAATTCCTCCGTTCCAATTTTCAAGTGTAATTTACATTTGGTTTCTAAAGCTATAAGATAAAACTTTTCTCGGAAAATGTGACTGTCTCTTATCTTTAAAATTTTTAAAGTTCTGAGAAAAACATATGTAAGTTTGGTAGCTAAAAAGAATATAAAAATGTATTGTTATCACAAATTTTTATTATGTTTTTATTCTGTAATTTTTAGTTTATTGTAAACATATTTAAACACATTATTTGTTTATTTGTGAAATTTATTAATATCGGTCGAATTTTATAGAAGGAGCAAAAATCATGAGCAAAAAACATGCTTTCGATCGAAAATCCAAAAGAATGCATTCTATGTTTTGATTGACTTAAGCTTGTCATAGCTAGAAGTTACATCAAAAAGTGATACTACATTATGATATCTAGATAATCGATAAATTTTTAAATTATTGAGTCACTCATGTTAAAGCACATCTCTGGAAATCTGACGAGCGATCATGTTTGTCCGCTTCTCGATGAAATTTTACGTCGAACAAGACGAGTGATTTATCGTATAAAGATAGACGCGATGTAACTCTGTATGGTTTTGAATCCATGGCTTGATGGCATGACGAATTAAACCAACTCGACGACCTTTATAAGGAACGACATAATAACGTTAATGATACCTATGTCGTTCTTGAGATGTAGGTCAAAGAGCGAAAGGTATATAGTCGTACTAGCATTATATTTGACAATTATACCGACATATCGGTGATTTAGTCAATAATTGTGTATTTCAATAAAGGATTCAACTGGATAAAGGTCGAACAAGAAACTAATTAGGTCCTAATGTATATGAAAGATAATAATGAATGATTACAGAATTACATAATTTGGTTATTGGAAATATTTATATTAATATTTATCATAAAAATCAGAATTAATAAAATAATTTTTGTTAAGTATAATATCTCTCGATATAATTTTCGGTACTTTTTCAATCTTGATTATTAATAATAATCATAAATCAGGCAAACACATAAGTAAAGACATAATGGTTATATAGCAAATTAATTTGCTATAACAAATTCATATATTTGTCATAATAAATTAATTTTGGACTATTGATTTATTAAAAATTATTAGTACGTTAGAATTTTACTTATCAAAATAATTTTCTTCAACAAAGTAGTTTAGTAGTATTTAATACAAAATTAAAATATCTATTTTATTAATTTTAACAAGATAATTAGCTTTTCTACTTTTTTAAATTATTGCTTAAATATTTTTTTCACTTTTTACAAGTTATAAAGTTACCAAAGATACTACAGATAATTCGCATACTTATCTGTAATTTATGTTACTGATCGCTATTCGTGACGTACGTTGGTTGGGGATATTTGCAAATCATACTTTAAGGCTTTTTGGTTTGCAAATTTGAGCCTACCTGCATTTACGACTTTATTCCTATATATGTTGAAAATAATTTCGATTGCAATGTTCATGTATGATCGCCTGCGCCTTACTCTTTCAGTCGTCCCACCTATCGATCCTGTGAAATCGATCTAATAAATATAAAACATTGCTTGCATACTCTGTTGTTTGCTACTTCGCTCACATATTAAAATCATCATAATAAAATCCTATCGCCTATGCAGTATTGCTTTCAGAAAAAAACACATTGATCACAAAAAAAATAAACTGATTTATATTATTTTATAAATTTCAATTCCATAAATTTCATTTTTTTATCTATAAATCCTGATAATTTAATTTAAAAAATTCGAATTGGACTTAACGCGGATCTAACGCGTATTAGGATCGGATATTCGAAAATGTCAAATTTATTAGCATACCTGTACAATTTTTATGTTACATGCTTTTTAATAATCAACAAACGAGAATACTAGTAGTAGTATATATTTCTGATATTTTGTAAGATGCGATCTTTGAATACTCACAAGTCGGCGATCTGTTCTCTCTCTCTCTCTCTCTTTCTCTGTCGTTGGCAAAATTCAACGCGATTTAGCATATTCATTTCTCTGCTCGTTATGTAATACGCACTGATGTGAGAGATATAAGTATCCGTTCGAAACTGGCTATTCACTTCAACTGTGTATTTCCAGCATCAAACTCGACATTAATGTTATCTTTGGCATTCCATAATCGGATCAGAAAAATTACATTAGATCAGAAAAAAAACGAATAGTTTCATCATGTAATAATCACAAAAGATATTTAATTTTCAAGAAAATTGTTTTCTAGAAAGCATCTGAAAAATGCATAAATTAAAATTTTTTTCTATGAAAACTTTTTGAATGCTGTTGTTTTGATTCTGATTTGGAGGCTTATGTAATAATTAAAAACAAACAGATTCTTTATATCAGTATTTCGAAACAAGAACATTTGATATCTTCCGTAAATCAAGCAACGTAAAGCAAGACACATTATGTGTGATAAATATCTCTTTTATCTTCGTACTGTCTTCGTACTGAAACTTGTTCCCATTTTAAAATATCGATTTATATAACTGTGTCAAAAACATGAGTTTTATCAGATCCTCACGGATAAACAAATCACAGTATCAAGTATATCTGACTCAAACAATTGTAAAAATATTAATGAGATGATTCTCGGTATTAGATACGAGTAAACGGGCAATGAGAATCAGATTCTCATTGCCAATTGTAAAAATTATAAATAATGACAAATTATTCATGTATTGTTATCGCGTGTTGCAACAAGTCAGAATAAATAATTATTTACCATTAAAATTTTATTTATTAATTATGATATGTAAATATGAAGTTATGTATTTTCAATAAGATTTTAGACATAAACGTAAAACTTTGAGATGAGATGAGAAAATTTTGAGATATAAATATAAGAAATGTAATTTAAATAAGGTTTAAAATTCTCTGCTTCAATCTTCCAGTGATTTAAATCACGGTTTAAGACTGTCTATGAACTAAAGCAACAATTCAGAATTCTTCTCGTATCAGAATTCTACTCGTAAAAGTACATATTTGTATATTACGAATGAAGAAAAAAATATGCTGATTGGCGAAGGCTGGGTGAAAGGGTTAACGTTACTTCGGAATTAATTGAATAGCG